CAGTCGCCATTGTCAGTATCGTCATTGACATTAATTCTGCAGTTTTCCTGTTTGTAGTTAGCTTTATCATTATCGTTACCATTCCCACTACCATTATATTTATCGTTATCATTATTTAGTCTTGGAGGTACTCAAAGACGCATTAAGCTAAGAAAGCTGATCTGAGATAAAAATATTTATATTTATTTTATTTCATTAGAAGCATGGCAGTTCTCTGTGGACAAAGATCTCTTCATCAGTCAAAACTTGCATATTTGGTAAAAGGACACACCGGCAGGTCCCTGACTCCGCAAATTCTAATAACGACCGGAGCGGTATTGTATCTGAGGATGACATAGAAATGGCTTATACTGCAACAAGGTCCAACAAGTTCGTGGTTGATGATGGTGATGGAATAGATGATCACAACATCGTCAGAAGTAAACAAATTATGAAGAAAGCGGAAATAATCGACACTGCCTCGAGATATCTGTTTCCTTTGACTTTTTCTTTGTATAATATCTATTACTGGCGAGGCTATTATTTCTAACCTTGTAACTAAAAGATGAACTTAAGAGCAATTTCAATGCAAAACTGTGCCAAAGCTCTTTTAAAACAGTATAATTTAGTGTGGTAATTGTTTGAGGGTTTTAAAACTCCCACAGAGCACTCTAAAAACATAAAATTTTAGTGTAGTATAAGTTAGATTTTAAGAAACTATTGTACAGTTGTAAGGCACAAAATTTTGCACAATTACTTTGATTTATACTGCCCGGGACCTCAAAAATAAAACCGAGTGACTTCTAAAATACTAATATATAGATACAGTTCCCTTTTATTCTATTCGGTGATGCATACGGAAACAGAGTTGTACTTACCGCCACCGAATGCTGATTTACATAGCTTCGTACCGTGCCACCGAACTTCAGCAGAAGAACAAATATTAGTAAAAACCACTGACTTACTGAATAATTGGCTTCATCAGCGTCAAATATAATAAAACTTCTTTTGTTAATATTCAGTCTGCTCTATTCATATTTTTTGATCTTGAAATTACGGTTGTTTTCCTCCAGACGTCTGATGTCTGATTCTGTTTAGAGCCAATGTATATCCGGGAATAATAATGTGAAGATCTGCTTTAGTAGCCCTCTTTCCATGGCGTAGCACTTCTTTTGTTTTCAGTTTTAGTTTAGTTTTTTTGGTAGAGGCGAAGTTCTAGTTCATTTTAAAGTTGAATGTTGATACCGAAGGTCTGATATCCGATAGCAACAATAAAATTAAAGTAAATTAGACGTTTTAACACTACGTATTGAGGATTTTCAAAACTCAATCCTGTAGAGTTCGGAGCCAAGTCGAAGTTGACAGCTAGCAATAGACAAAGACTGACATTAAGAGCTCCAACATAAGATTATATTCTTATCAGAAGAAATTGACACTGTTAATTTAGTCCACGTAGAAAAAAACACGTTAAAATTAGAGGAAAGAAAAAACATATAGTGCAATAATATAAAATTGTTCCATTGCAAATGACATTTACCTGAATTGTTAATTAAAGGGATTCCTCTTTTGTGAATTGGGTTTGTTATACCCGCGCGATTTCATTCGACATTGCTGCATGTTCGAAATACAATTAAGGGGTACTGTCATACAATGTATATGCAGTCTTGGACTTTACAATTAGATGATTGAATTAAAAACTGATTCACTTTCAATTTTATGGTTATTGTCATCGTTAATGATGTCGTTGATGTTATAGCAAGCAACTGACAAAAGAAGTCTTTTACCTATTTCTTTGCTTAAATCCTTGAACGGTGTTTTACTCCCAAGCTCTTTAAATTCAAGGTTTAACTGCCCGTTCACTCTACCTAAGCAGTCACGTTAACCAGTGTTATCGAGGGCACTAACGGAATATTACATTTTAGTAAAATCCAACTAGTGGTCTATTATCAATGCTGCATTCTGATTGGTTGAGCCACTACTAGGATATACGTTATAGCCTAGGGACGGACCATTAGAAAACTTATGGGGGGGCGGGCGAAGTACAAAAAAAAAATTCGCGCAAGGGAAAATTAAATGAAAAAAAATTCTTGCACGTCAATTAACCCTAAAAAATATTCATGCTATGGCCTAAAAAAAATTCATACAAGGAATTTGATAACGAAAAAAAATTCCTGCGGCTCGAAAATTCCCCTCCCCCCCATAACTTTTCTAATGGTCGGTCCCCTACTAGTAGCAAAAAGCGCCGGCTTTGAAAACCAAAACAATGGCTTTAAGTCTAGCTTTAACTCAGCTAAAGTTGTTTTGTCTCGATATTTTTGACTAACTAGTTGGATTTTACTAAAACAATTATTCCTCTCGCCCTCATGGCCTCTGTGTCAATAGCCCATTCGGCCTTCGGCCTCATGGGTTATTGACTCAGAGCCCATTCGGGCTCGAGGAATAATTGTTAAACGATAGACGGGTCAAAAAATATGATAGCACCTACCGTTTGAAAAACCAACGAAGCAACTATTTCAAAGGAAGAGAAAGAACTCGTCTTTAACATTTGAGTGCAACTTTTGAAACAGCTAGCTAATTTTCCTCCGCTCTCTAGGTCTGCTTGTACCGGTCTATGCAAAGTGAATGAAACAGTTGTTTTCACACTGATTGACCAGTGTGAGTTGTCGGATATTGAATAGAGGGGCGTGAAAGAGTTTTAACAGTTGCACATGTCATCCGCACGTCAAATGATCGACGTTTTACTGGACGTTAACCGCAAGGCGCTGAATAAAAGCACAATTTTAAAAAGTTTTTCCCAGCCAAGCGTTTTAGAGTCCGGCTCTATGAGCCAGGATGCTGGTGTGGCGCATTCACCTCCCAGCCAAAAATATTATTGGTAGGAATGACCGCTAGCAAGCTATTATTTCTAACTACTTCCCTCCCAATTTTTATCTAAGATGCCACAATTCCCAGCCAACATCACAATGTCTGAGGAACCGGCTATTTTGAACATCGGCTCTCCTGAGCATTCCTACCTAGGAGCCATAATTATACCCAGCTTGAGGTTATTGTTCGACGTAAGGAAGTTCCTATCAAAGCACGTCTCCTGCTGGTCGATCAATTTATCGCTAATTAATGAGTTCAAGTAACTTGTTCAGAGAGTTAAGCTCCTTGTTATCAGGAAAAGACTTGCTGTGAGGACGCAACGACAGCTAACAGAGTGGTCCTGATTTCCAATACCTGCTTAATATAGCAAAACACTTTCACGCTGCGTTTGAAGTTACTGTACTCAATCCTTTGCTGTTATTTGCCCTTGCTGCTTAGTTCAAGTGGATTATCTGGCGTAGTAATTCGTTGGGCAAAAGCTTAGCAAGCTGGAAAAAAATTGACTGGTAATAAGGTATGTGTAATTGCTTCGTTTAAAAGCTGTGTGTGCATATTTGAAACAAACTGGGCTATCACATTGACAATTCTTAGGCGGAAAGCAGAAGTTATTAGTAAAAGAAAAAGAGAATGGTGATGTCAATTGTTCGTCAAACCAATATACCGTTAACGAGTTAACGTTAAATGAACCTTTTGAGATTGACATGCTGCAGTAAGTGATTGGTAGAACCTTGCTCACCTGATATGTGAGTGACTGTGTTAAATTTTCATGGATGTTAAGAAATTACTATACGCTAAGCGGCCTAATAATGCAAAATAAATAGGGCAGACTGTGACGAAACCCGCCACAAAAGTGAGTCCTCTCTAACGACAACACCGAGCATAGACAAACTCGAGAAAACACGTATATAAAAAAAATAATACTCTAAACGTTTATTAAAACAATACTCCCAAGACTCCACGATTTTAAGATTAACTAGGCGTTTCTATAATTATTCTAATTTCTAAAGACTAATGCGATAATACTTGTGATAATTATTCTAATTTCTAAAGACTAATGCGATAATACTTGTGATAATTATTCTAATTTCTAAAGACTAATGCGATGATACTTGTGATAATTATTCTAATTTCTAAAGACTAATGCGATAATACTTGTGATAATTATTCTAATTTCTAAAGACTAATGCGATGATACTTGTGATAATTATTCTAATTTCTAAAGACTAATGCGATGATACTTTTTACACAAAATTCACAGCGTTTTTTTTTTTAACTACTTAGCCTACAACATATTTACAAATTATCTTCTCCGAACACGCAGTAATAGTCCCCTTTTTAGTTCACCTTACGTATAAAACAGAGTTCCTTGTTCGTTCCTTTAGACCAGCCCGTCGACGATTCCAAAACCTTCAAACTCCAGTATCTTGTATCTTTTTCAAACTTGCTCCGGCTTCGGTTTTTCCCCGGTCTGCCGCTACACTCTAGTTCAATTTGCCTTTCCGCAAACGTTCTTGGAGAAATAGCTCCTTGGAGAGTTGTTACGTAACACAATACTTCTTCTGCTCTCTCTCAACTTTTATAACACAACACGCAGCTTTTCCCCGACAAATGACTTCTTTTGCCGTGAAGTTAAGGAATGCCTCTGCTGAAGGGATTTCAGCATATCGGTTTGTGCTTCTAGGTCCCTTTCTTGCTGTCTCTCCGAACGCGCCCTCTGCACTGACTTTTTCTTTTTTTAGCGACGCGGCTCCTTCTTAACAACTTCCAAAATCCACGCAAATGTAAGGTGTGTCAAAAGGGACTATAGTAAAAAGTCTGATCTAGTAATTAACAGCTTTCAACCAATAGAACGGCTTAAAATGAAAGTTTTAACAATAAAAATTACGTAATAGTCTACACAGCAGAAAAATACTTAAATAAAAGTAATTAGCATACAAGACGTAACTATTATTAATTAGGAATTCTATGACACAGACTAAAAGAATAATGGCGGATGCCTCTGTAAAATGCCTTTGTAAATGACAAGACGGCAGCTGGCTTTGTGACATTGTTTTAGTTTTTTTTTACTGGACAAGAAGATCTACCAGGAGGTAACAGTGCCATCATTTCTCGACTTCTACGTTAATACTAAATTTAAAAAAGGGCTTTCTGCTAGAATCTGTGGATATAGTTCGATATGTGCAAGCCAGTGCTCTTTTGGTTTAGTCGGTGGTAAGACTGAACACCAGTTCTGGAGAGAAACAACACCAATTTGTAACTTAGGGTTCACTTTTAGTAAATTTGTCTTGATTTATCTTCCGCAAAAATAACATTTACAACAAACACTTACGTTTACTACGTTCAGGGGAAAGTTAATGACCGACTTTAATATTAGAATTCTATCGACCAAATTCGGGTTTGAATAACTTCTATGTTAGACTCGCCACCGATTGGTATCAAATACAACAACTGACGACATAATAATTTTTTTTAAACAAACAAACCGTAAAAACACAATATCATCTGAGACACATACATACATTGTATGCATATGCAAGTGCGGTGCCCTCTGTTTTCAAGGTTCCTCCCAGGAGAAAATGAAATAAGACATTTATTGCTTTTGTTTATTATTAAATAGAAATTAATTAATCTGTTTCCTTTATTAGCCGGAATGAAAGCTGCACCAGGAGAGAACCTCACCAAACTAAGCGTGCTTATTGTTATTGTTCTGGCGTTGTCTGGTTTGTAAGTACATGGAAAGTTTTGAGGGATTTCAGTCATTTGTACCCATGAGTGAGATTCAACAGAATTTCACTTCATTAACCTAGATTTTTTATTAAAAAAATCCCCTGGATCCGCCACTATATTTAACGTATTTAGACTTCTGTAGTGCTAGAAAGACCGGCATTGAATTCAAAACTCGTGCATTGTTAAGTGATGAAAATTGTAGCGATAACGATTACGATGACGAAGACGTTAACGATGATGATGATGATGATGATGATGATGATGATGATAACAATACTAATCATAATCACAGTAATAATTTCGACATCCTTAAAGAAAGTAGTTTAAGTCATGGGGGATATTCTATGTGCTTTGAGTCTTGCTTCCTCCCAGCCCCTAAATATTGCACAATTAGTTTTTATTAAGTAACTTTGCCCTCAAACTCGAAATTTAAACTACTGCTTTATTTTCTCCCCAGAAGGTATGTTAAGTGTATCTGTTCTGCGTTTAATTAAAATACGTATCTGTCGCATCTCTTCCTACAGGATATCAGGGAACAACGATGTGATTACAGCATTTTTTGAAGGTTATGACAAAGCCGTGAGACCGGGGTTTGGTAAGATATAGTAAACAGGAACAAAAAAGGGGGGGGGAATAGAAAATTGAAATTGAACATTAATTTATCAACAACTGTTCAATAAGTTGAAAAAGGCCTTACCACCAGCGCGCAAACTACCGAAAACGTCAGGGAAATAAACCCATTCCATCTCCTTGTCTTTTGGTTTTAAAGGTGTCAGTTGAAAAATGGTTATGGTCTTTTTCATCCTATTAATTCTTTAGTTATCGTCTAATACAACAGAGTTTTTATCTAAATTTTGTCACGTGATGCTCGGCCGTAAGCCTATCCAAAAAGACGAAATACCGGTTTGATTGGGACTGAGAAGAAATATCGATCAAAGTTCATGTGAATGTAATAGCAATTTTTATGTCAAGGAAATGTTACGTGAAAAATATAACAGATCGCCCATGGAATAGCACACCCGAAAAATAACTTTTGAAATGGGCAAAAGTGAGAAGACGTGACATTGAAGAAGAGAAAACAACATCAACAAAACAATCAGAGCTCTTGCAAGGTTACGGAATGAGCACAAGTACTTCGCTTCTCACCATTAATTTTTCGTTTTAATTGTCTTAGAAAACGGGACACCTGTTACCATTCGATCGAGCATTTACGTTGAGTCGTTTGGAAACATAGAAGAGGCCAATATGGTAAGTTTTACGTCAGAAGTTGAATGATAGTAATTTTCAAAAACGTAAGCAGGGACGGATTTACAAAATTCAGAAAGGGGTGGCTGGGACATTTGCCAGCTATAACAAACTTTTTGTTATACTGAAAATTCTTTAAAATGCATAAATAGAAAATATCACATAAAAAAGTGGCGGCAGTCTTCTCGGCTCCACTCTTATATTCATGGAATTGAAAGTGCTTGTCCCTCAAAAAATCCTATAAAAGCTTGCTTACCTTCTTTACATTCCAGGCTATTACTGGTTATTGAAAAATGAGCTGGTGCTACATGTGCATATCCTTTAGAGATTCACTTATAACTCTAGAAAAAGTCAGCGTTTTGACCCTTTACGCCCCAGTATCGACATACAAATTCTCCAGACTTCACTCGATATATTCCCCATAAAAATTAGGAGAGAATTTGATAAAAATCAATCCCTTAAGTGCTCATTATATTTATGTTATAACTTTTTTTTTTAATTATTTATGGATATTGCTATAAGAAAACAGATGTTCTTCACTTTTGGGACCGGACCAGATGGCAGCCACCCACCGCCAGTACACCTCATAAAGCTTAGTAAATTGGTTTGATAAAATGTTTTCATGACGTCTTGATATGCTTTCCATATTTTTTACTAGGAATATAAAGTTTACTCGTATTTCCGTCAAGTATGGAGAGACTCGCGCCTGGCTGGAAAACTTAACAGCACTTTCACAATAAGGGGAGGTGACATCGACAACATGTGGGTTCCAGATCCATTTTGCTACAATGCACGTGAATCAAACCTCATGCTGCCCAACGAGGAAGTACATAGCCTTGTTCACATACAACCCGATGGAGATGTCCTCATGAGCAAGGGGTAGGTATATACCATGTACTGTGATTTTGATTAAGAAATGGGGTGGCCTAGTCACCTTTCGAATTTTTGCTGTTGTGTTACAAAATATTACATGAGAATATTTAGCCTTTGATAGGTGATTTAACGCTTCACAAACAATTTAAATTGCCTCATAAAGTAAACAGCTTTCCCATGGGGGAATAACGAGCGCAGGACATCGCCACGACTGGGCTTTGGGAACGGCTGAAGAACTATTAATCGGTATTGTTGAATTTTGTTCATAACAGAATGACTGTGCTAGCCTCTTGCGATATGAACCTTCAGGATTTTCCACTAGACTCCCAGACATGTAATCTAAAGATTGGAAGCTGTGAGTAACCTTGGCTATGTTTTGTAAAAACTGGCCGCAAATAATATGTATCTGTGGTATCTTTTTGTAGAAAAAATGCAGTATTTTGTGTAACTTAAAGGAAAGTGAGGACTTCAAAACTTTTTTTAAACATGTCGATATAATATTTAGTTCATTCAGAAGATTAATTCAGAAGCGAAACTTTTGGTGAATCATCATTGCTTACGATATCTCTTGCTTGATGCACAGACGCATACTCTACAAGGGACATTGTCTACGAGTGGATCCCAGGAGAAGTGCTCATTGGAAACAAAGAAATGGCTCAGTTTTATTACAAGGGCTCAAACTTGTCATCGTACATAGATGTTTACAGTACAGGTAAGTTCGGCTATGTTTTGTTCAGTGTCATTGTTGTTGTTATTTGCTGAAGTCCATTTTCATAGGTGGCCTTGACACTGAATTTTTTTTCAGCGAGGTTTTTATCTTGGTTTAATTTTACCATCTCTTTCATATAACCCATATTCCACAGGAATATAAAGTTTTTGAAAATTTAGAAACGCGCAATTGAATACGTATATATACAGTGTGTGCCAAGTTTCTCTATTGCTGGCTGATGTTAATATGATCCCTGTCTTATGATTAATGAATAATGAATGAATGAGTAAACTATATATAATTCCTCTACTAAGCTCTCTATTACTAAATACGTCTTTAACATAAATTTGATTAACTCACTCTTCTTTTCGTAGGAAATTTCGCAACTATAACGGTAACATTTTCTTTTCAACGGCGAATCGGATACTATCTCATCCAAATTTACTTTCCAACAATTTTTGTGGTGATGTTAAGCTGGATTGTATTCTTCATGGAAAAAGATGACATTGGAAACAGAATGGCTTTAGGAATCACCACAATTCTAACCATTATGTTCCTTCTTGGATCTCTTAATGGAAATTTGCCCAAGGTCAGCTACCCAAAGGCCCTGGATTGGTATCTACTGGTTGGATTCAGCTTTGTGTTTCTTTCTTTGATCGAATGCATGATCGTGTACGTTCTTACGGTCAAAGCTACTGAAAAAGGAAACAATGTCAAATTTGAGGTAAATGCTATTTTCAATATTTCGGAACATTCCCGCTCAAACGCGGGCGTGTAAAGCAAAGTTCTAAAGAAAACATCCGGCTCGAAGGACAATGCAATGTTCGTTGTTCGTTCGAAAGCCGATTAGCTCTAACCCGAGATCAAATTTTAATCCAGGTTTCTTTTTCTTTTGTTCAAAAGCATTTTCCTGGATAATTTTCTCGATTCTCTTTAGAGCATCTAATCATCATTGCTCCTGGGGAGCAAGGGATGGCGCAATAGTGAGAGTTTAGGGTTGAGTTTGTTGTTCGTTCTCTCCTTTGCTCCGAGAGGTTTTTCTCCGGGTACTACGGTTTTCCCCTCTCCTCGAAAACCAACATTTCCAAATATAAATTCCACCAGGAATCAGGTAGACGAAGAACCACTTTGTGGATGTACCTCCAAATCATTATTTATTTTATTTATTTATAAGTGCTAGACAAAAAGAAAAAACTGTATTTACTTTTTAAGCTTTCATGTCTGAATTGAAATTTCGCTTTATCCGTGGGTTATTTTAACCCTGCTTTGAACAACGTGGCCCTGAATGATTTTGTTTCTATGTATCTCAGATTAAATGCAATTTTTTTAAATTCCAAATGTTTATTATTGACGGGTTCCTTTTCCTTTTTAAAGTGATTCCCACTTTCCGTTTTTACATTCAAGAGGACACATTATCCTTCCACATAGGGTTAATGGGTCTTTCATGTTATACTTTAAGAGTACGAACGGAAAAAAATTACTTGAAAGGAGATGTAAGATATTGCACTCAGCGACTAAAATGAATTGGCAATAAACAGTTTTGGCGCCATAACTATCCAGTGTAGTGCGAACTTAGCCTACTAATTTTTGTCTTCAGTACAAACAACAACAACATTAATAGATCAATGACAGCATATAGCACTCTTCTGTTTCACAACCTTAATCCATCCTGTCTTTGTATTACAGAATTACGGGAACTCCCGGTGGGAAAGAGTTCACTCGTGGCTCAAATTAGCCATTGCCTCAAAGAGTGCCAAAAGCTGGACCGATTCTAAACACCAGGGGAACGGATCAGCGAACCTACAAAGCCAAGACGACCTTGAAATGGTTCAAAATGCTACCAAATCCAACAACACGGTGTTGGAGGATGGTTCTCGAGATGCAGACAGTGAGCAAACCAAAACCATGGCAACAGTTGCTACTGCAGTTGAAAACATTGCTCGCATTTTGTTTCCATTGGCATTCATTAGCTACAACATTTTTTACTGGACCTATTATTAGGATTCAAATAAACTATCGTCTATAGTATCATGGAAAGGAAGTTAAGAGGCCGGCGATAGTATTGGGTGCAAACTGAGCTAAAACTAAAACTTAGTATCATCAGCTTTTTCTTCAGTTAGAACATAGAGCTCTCAAAGGAAGATACATATCAAGCAATGCTTTTAATGGGAACAGAAGCGTTCACCTTCTAAATTATATCTGTTTTGTTGTTGTCGTGTTTTTTAAAAATGTACACTGTATTCAGCCATCCTTATTATCAAACCCCGAAGAAATGCAGGTGTATGTAGATTTATAGAGTATGTCAACCATTATATGTTTCTATGATTGACCTTAGAGTTAGTATAGGTAATAGCATGACTTGTAGGGATATTTGGCCTAAATTCCACGGGTGATATTTCAAAATTGTTATACGTAATTTTGAAATATCACTAGTGGTATTTATGCCAAATATCACGTACAAATCAAGCTATTATTTGTTTATACTACTAGCCGCAAAAGGTTTGTAATTTTCACGTGTAGGTATTTCAAATTTATGCTGAAATACCACTGCTCTAAGCCAATCAAATTGCAGAACTTTCTCCTGTAGTAGTATAAAGGGTGTTATAATTAGGAACAATTAAGAGAAAATTGTTGTACACGGCTCCTTTAATTCTGCTTCTAACTAGGCAATAGAGACCTTTAGAGTCTATGACGAGGACAACTAGGAGAACCAGATCAATTCACCATTTTCACACATCCTCGGAGATCCAGAGGCGGTCAATTGGGTCAGAAAAAACTGCGGCGAAAGTTTTCAAGAACGGGCAGGAGAGCCCCTGGGATGCTACTCTTAACGAACCAGTTCCACAACTTATTCGAATGCTTGATGTCTGTGATTGCCAATCAGAGGCCAGCATCAAACTTTAAGTAAAATGTCGTCCTTGTAGTTGGTCCTTGCCCTCAAATCTAAAATTGTCAAATGATATATTGACCTACTGGAATAAATACTAGTGCACACCCAAGGATGACACGCGTCTTCACACTCGCATGGCCAAGATCTTAGCAAAATGATTTTTAAAAGTGATGTCATGTGACTTCTTCGTAATCTTATACAATCCGCAGTCAGTATTCACGCAACCTGCCACAACCTGGTTTTTTTGCAAGACGCTGTGTGAACGTAGGTGGTAAAACGTGTCACATCACGATTCAACTCATTTTGTTACAATGTTTCGAAACAAGTTGCATTTTTTTGCTGCCCTTTTTACCGTTGCTTAAGGTGGCGAATATTGAGAGCTTTGTTCCTTCAATTCATCATTTTCACATTGCCTATAATACACTTTGTTTAACCTCCCAAATTTTGTATAACTATTGTTTCTTTTCTTCTGGGTATGACCGTAGTCCGAAGAGAAAATAAAGACAATGTTTTCGCTGCAAAATTTTGTGGGGCGAACAATGTGCATCATGGGCAACGTGCAGTGTCGTCGGGAAATCTTGAAGATCTTAATTAAGGATTGCTAATTAAATCGAAACTGTGGCCATTTTTAGCACCCTTTGTTCTTTCTCACGCAGTTCGAATATATGAAGTTGATACATTTATTTTTAATAAATGGCAACTCATTACAGACACACATATATATTTTTTCTTTTTGCTCGACATTCTTTGTCGTGGTTTGAGTGTTCATAATTTGTGTGTTGCGCTATTTTGCTGTTAGTCTTTGCTTTTTAAAGTTTTGACATAGTTGGCAAATTTAGCCAAAAAAAGTGCAAGCGTTGTTTTTGACCAAGCGTGCGTCAAATTGTCGTGAAATAAAAGGAATTTTACCGATGAGGCTAGATGCATGGCTAGCTTTAACTTAAATTATGCTATATTGTATTTTGATTTAAGTGGAAACACGCTGTGAGCGTGCATTCACTTTAGTAACGTACAAAGTACCTTGGAGGCTTACATAAATCATATTTGATTGGCGCCATATGAACAGAGTCATAGTGAATCTGTGTTCTTGTTTGCTCAAATTTGCGAATCCCTAAACAGTTTTTCAAAATGTTTACGTTAAGTATGCTGGTACGCTTCAGATCGCGTTTTGTCTGCACTGTGAATGCAACCTGGGCTCACCTTGCCTCAGGGCTCGTTATCAGAAGACTTTTTGATAAATTCACAAATGATTGCTTGTACCCATGGGTGTTTATTTCTGTTTAATCCTCATTAGGACGTCTCCTCAGCTGTTGAATTATTCTCGACGGGATTAGGTATTGACCGCTTGGAAAACTTGTATTCAATTTGGACGTTCTAACTAATATACACAAATGATAAGGTACAGTAAGCGTTATTGTTTTTGATCACATCGTCTGCTTAAAATATATTCATATTAGCATAAATATTCAATTAGACTGATACACGGGTGGAAATTAGTATACTCATATCACAGTACACTAAAAGGTTTCCATTTTCGTCGTGAATGTTTGCGGTGAGTATAGCATTTGTTTTCGTCAAGCCTCATATTGGAAACTTTACATCGCCTCAGTACCTAAGAAAATGAGCCGAGTGATTTTTTTTTTCGACAGAGCTTCCGCAATTGTTACGGCCTTGATTGCACAATGAACAATTCACAAATTCACAAGTTTATTTTAATTCTTTCATACACCTCGAAAAGGCCTGTTTTATTGTGACAATTATGCACGCAAGCTACATGAAATTCGATTTTCTGTGATTCGACAGGTCCACCGCCTATACCTATGAAAATGAGCAGGGTGATATTTTTTTTATTTCAGACAAAGCTTCCGCCACCGTTTAATCAGTATTTTAATTACGTAAATCTGGCTTCTTTAACTCTTAATTTCCTAAGATTTCTTTCAGAAGTTTCCCTTTCTGTTCATTTACCCGCTTTTGAAAGAGTGCAACGAGAAAGTTATTTGTCTTTAATTTGTTAATGAGTGATTTAGTCCGGAATCAATTTTGGCCAGAAAACATGAACAGGAACAAAACTGTATAAAGCAATAATATCAAATAACTTAAAAGTAACGTCCATTTCGTTTGCTCTTGTTGTTGCAGAAAGAACAATTCACAAATTTACAAGTTTATTTTTAATTTCATGGCCTGGAAAAGACCTGTTTCAAACGAAGAACTTTTCGTAACAATTAACCATGCAAATTACATGAAATTCGATTTTCTCTGGTTCGACAGGTCCAAATTGAGAAAAGTTCAGATGCAGGACTTAAATGGCCGAACTTATACAATTTTAGGCAAAAAAATCGTTAAATGATGTGATGTAATAACTTATCAGATTTTATGCAATAGGGTCGTCACATAGAATGTTTGAACATTTACACCTGAAACAAAGCTGCTCCGAGTTCTTTTCAAAATCGAAACTCCCAGCAGAACCAGGCGGGAAGGGCGGCTGAGCCGTAAGCCGCTTCAAATTGAAAAAGTAATATCAGATTTCGACACCGAACGTTTCATATATTACTTAATTCGATGTAGTAGGTTTATTCTGAATCTAAAATGTCCGGCGTCTCAATCACGTAGAAAAGACGTAAAGTTCCATTCAAGATGGCTCACTTCCGGCATGATGACGTCATGTTTCATCCTGTTTGAACAGGCAAAGACTAGACTTAATACTCCGGAAATAAAATCGAAACTAACTGAAACTCATATATATGCAAGATATCGATCTTTACACCTTATGCTCATTCAAAATTTCTTACAATACTTTGATGGTCACCAATAAATAAATGTCACTTAAATATGCATTCATTTCGTCAATGCCAAATTTTCTTATGCTTAAAAATAATGCTGCTGTTACTAATGGCTTCTTTTATGTTCACGCAGCACGACTTCTTGTATTAATTGTTGTAAATGTTAAGTAAAATTGTTACATTTAATTGTCTTCAGCATAGACACCGAAGGGAAAAACTGAGTCACAGAGTCCGCGTTATAGAGTTAGGAATTTTATGATTTCCCCTTCCTTTTGAGTCTTTTGCACCAGCTCAGTAAAGCATCCCTACTATAGGCAAATCTTCGTTCACGTCACTGTTTACACTTTTGCTAATTAGCAAGAGAAGTAATTAAAAACCAATAGAAGACCTCACCCGTATATACAAATTAGGTTGAAACGTTAAAAGAGCTGATGAAGTTGAGTAGTTTGTGCAAGTTTTAGCTATTTGCCATCAACAACTTAAGGAAACAAAAGCAATCATAAACTGTATAATTGCTCGGTGGCAGAAGCGTTAATGAGCTCATCATTCTGTGTAAAAATCGTTTTTTTTTTTCAATTTTTTCGAAGAGAATTTCTCCGGAAACATTTGATATATGCATGGTAAGGCTCAAACCTTCATAGAAAACTGAAATTGTTATGACTTTTTCAATATTTAGAGGTGCTATTAATATGAGCTTTATCAGATGGTGATAAGCATATGTTAATGAGCGAGAAAAAGATTCGCCTATAAATGTATAAATATTAACGAAAAAGACTTATTTCACAAACTATAGGAAAAAGGGACAACGGTGTAATATTCTTTTATAAACATATTTTTATTAACGGTTTGTGTTCACGTACAGATACAAGATGAAAAAACTACTATGTTTTTTTGCTGCGCTTTTGCTGAGTCACGCAAAACTGTAAGTATCCGCTTTTATTTATTTAATCGCAAATCACAGAGTATTCAACCTTTTTACATACATTTATAGATGGTGAAAATCTCAAAACTTCTTCCTCTTATCTATTTTCACAGAATATCTTGTGAAGATGATGTCATGACGGAATTGTTTAAGGGCTACGACAAAGCAATCAGGCCAAATCACAGTAAATATGTACAAAAATAGTTTGTAAAGTAATGGCTTCTAAAAAGAAAAATGCATATTGTTGGTTCAAGTAAACTTTTTTAATCCTGAATAAGCGTTTCCCTTTTTTTTTCAAGGAATGGGTAAGCCGGTTACGATTCGTTCATCGATTTATGTGGAATCCTTTGGAAACATAGAAGAGGCCAATATGGTGAGATAATTGCGGATTAAGTTAAGATTTTATCAGTTGTAAATTGACTGAAATGCTAAGAGTGGTCCGGCTGGTTGCTGAAAATTAAAAAAGAAAAGAAGAGAGCTCCTCGAGTTGGAGCAAGTTGCTAAGAACACACTCTTTCTATTCCTCTTGTTCCAGTGAACAATGGAACCACCGAATCGAGGCCTGAAATTGGAAAATGAAGTGATCTGTATAAATTTTATTTTTTTTGTATGAAGATTGGTGTGTGCTCACTAGATGAAGGCACTGGAAAGATAGATAAGTAACTAGACAAGTTATTTATCGATCCAACTTTCGAGTTGATCACGCATTAATTAATTAATTAAGAATTTTGCATGTCATTTACTTTCTTTTCGTTTTAATGTCAGGAATTTAAGGCATATATCTATTTTCGTCAGTCATGGAAGGATCCTCGCCTGACAGGAAGGATCAACGACACTTTTACCATACGAGGAGGAGAGGTAGACAATATTTGGACCCCAGATCCATATTGCTACAATGCACGTGAATCGAATATGATGACACCCCATGAAGAAGTAAATGTTAACGTACGGATTTCCCCCAACGGAAACATATTATCGAGCAGAGGGTACGCATTGGTTTTTCTCTGAGGAGTTATTTTGAGCTGTTCAGTTCACCAGTTTCCAGGGAGGAACAATAGTACAATGATGAACGTTAGGGTGCGAAAAAATAATGCAAGCGCGCCAAAAAGGTGTGGTTGAGACTTACTAAGGCATCACACGGTCCGATGTTTCTATATAGAAAGTAGAAGCAATGCAACAATGGTATCATGTTTACATGTGTCAAAAATATCTGGACCCCAGATCCATATTGCTATAATTCACGTGAATCGAATATAATGACAACCAGGAGCCCTGTGACAACCAATGAAGAAGTAAACCTTTATGTCCGTTTTTCACCCAACGGAGACAGAGCATAGAGCAGAGGGTACGAATCAGTTTAAAACTGAAACCCTTTATTTTGAGCTCTTCAGTTTTAAGCGCAGAATAATAGCGAGAAAGTGTTTAAATTGGTTTTGTTTTTTGGGGGGGAGGGGGGGTGGGCTATTAGTGAACTTACGCAACAGGACGGGAGAGGAAAAGAGACGCCAATCCTTGTGTGACAAGGGTGGCAATAATTTTGTATGAAAAGAATTTCCCTGTCACGTTTGTCAGACACACACGTTTTGTCGTCCTCTTGTGTCTGCCGTCCTGTTGCGTAAACTCACTACGGTCCGTAGTCTTATTTAGCAACAAAGCGGGAACGTCATTTGACGACGGCAAAGCGCGCGAAAAGGACTAAACTCTACTTCCGGTATCCACTTTGCCGCTCAGCCATTGGTCAAGCCAGTTATTTGATTTGCGCGCGCCGTCGTCAACTGACGTTCCCGTTCTGTTGCTAAATCAGCCTATTAATAACCATAGGGCACGTGAGGAATTGCAGTTAGTGTTAATAAAGGCATTACATGGCGATGTTTCTTGGGCAAGGCAACAACTTAAGCGACACTCGTCAACCGGAAGTGAGTCATTTTCGCTTCTCATATACCTCGATGCTAACAAATGTGTATTCCTAAATGTCTTTTCTATCATAGAGACGATTTGCTTGTTCAAAATCACGAACCAAGTTTGCAAAAAGTCCACTTCCAGTTGACGTGCGTCGCTCAAAAACGTCGATGCTTAAGCTCCCTAATGGCATTGTGTGATAGTCGTCCGTATGTTTTTGTTGTTGTTGTTGTCGTTGTTGTTGCTTATTTGTTTATTTGCTTTTCAATCTCAGGGTAACTTTACTCGCTTCTTGTGTGATGAATCTCCGAACCTACCCACATGATTCTCAGCAATGTCATCTCAAGTTTGGAAGCTGTAAATTGTTGTTGTTGATTTTTTTTTTTTTTTAATCGTGATTAATGTTAAAAATGTCATTCTAAAGAGGTTTTCTACGAAATCCTCTCCAGTTAATTTAATGGCATGGTTAAAAAGCTAAAAGCGGAGGCTATTCTCTCCTTAAGAGTTTGGTTTCTTTTGTTAACGAGACCAGCGAAAGAAATCTCTGAGAACAGCCATCACTGTCCATATGCAGGAGCCCATAACTCCCAAACCAGTGTAGTGGGAGGTTTCCGTATTAAGCTTGAGTCCGTGTAGTGGGGTTTGAGTGTACCTATAAGAGCGCAAACTGTTCCTCCTGTTTACTCCCCCACCCGAAGAACACATATCCCTAGTGATATGTGTTCCCTTACCCGGGAAACACATATCCCTAGTGATATGTGTTCCCCCGCCTGGAAAACCCATATCCCTGGTGATATGTGTTCCCCCACCTGGGAAACACATATCCCTAGTGATTTGGTTCCCCCACCCAGGAAACAAATATCCCTAGTGATATGCGTTCCCCCACCTGGGAAGCACATATCCCTAGTGATATGTGTTCCCCCACCTGGGAAACACATATCCTTAGTGATATGTGTTCCCCTACCCGAGAAACACATATCCCTAGTGATATGTGTTCCCTCACCTGGGAAACACGTATCCCTAGCAATATGTGCTCCCCTACCCGGGAAACACATATCCCTAGCGATTTGTGTTCCCCCACCTGGGAAACATATATCCCTAGTGATATGTGTTCCCCTACCCGGGAAACACATATCCCTAGTGATATGTGTTCCCCCACCAGGGAAACACATATCCCTAGTGATATGTGTTCCCTCACCTGGGAAACACGTATCCCTAGTAATATGTGCTCCCCTACCCGGGAAACACGTATCCCTAGTAATATGTGCTCCCCTTCTTGGGAAACACATATCCCTAGTGATATGTGTTCCCCCACCTGGAAAACACTATCCCTAGTGATATGTGTTCCCCCACCTGGAAAACACATATCCCTAGTGATATGTGTTACCCCACCTGGAAAACACTATCCCTAGTGATATGTGTGGGTGAGTCCGTGTAGTGGGGTTTGACTGTACCCATAAGAGCGCAAACTGTTCCTCCTGTTTACTTGTAAACCTTTTAACGTTTCATACTCGCCTGATCCAAAAATTGTTTAACTAACAGTGACGGTATTTTTTTTTTTTTAATAGACTCGTACACAACTAGCGATATCGTTTACGACTGGGTTCCTGAGGAGGTTCAGTTTGGAAACAAAGAGCTATCTCAGTTTCAGCTCAAGGGCGCCGAGTTAACATCTAACATAGAAACTTTTTCTACAGGTGAGCATAACATTAAGCGATGACTACATTCTTTATTTCCCATTTTATAGCACTTTATTTCTTCACATAATAAACGACTAAGGTGGCCCAGTTTATATATTAGTAAAGGACGATGTACTCAAATCAGTGCAAAACGACGCAAAAAAAAAACAACAAACTTAAAAGCAACAAAAGCATCAACAACAAAAAACCTTGAGTCAAACTAAATTTTTAAGCACGAAAAACTTGATTAATGAAAAATATTCAAGAATTTCACCCGAGGGTAGAAAAAAATACTTGCGCATGTTTATCTCAAAATCTTGTGTGATTTCCTGATAGAAACGTGTACGTATTGCTGTTCCTAAAATTTCCGCGTCAGCATAATATACAGCGTTTTCACATGACGTCACGGCGGCCATCTTGGTGTTCCAAAACAATGAAACGGCGGCCATCTTGGTGTTCCAAACAAATCTTGTGGGAGTTGAACTCTTTACTTACACAAACAATTTCTTTTGTTCACATAAATTTGCATAGATGCAGGCCACGTCAGTGAAAACGCTCTATAGGCTTCTCAATGCAAAGAATAGTGTATAGCTGATTCAATAAAGGTTGCTTTGGGCATTGGAAAGCTATTGTTTGGAAATCACTCAAATAAATTATTGCATTGTTCCATATGCCCAATGTCAAATTACCAATGACCAATTACTATTTTTTTTTTAAAGCAACCGTTTTTGATTTAACATTATCACGGTACTGTGAATTCATAATATGATTTAGCAAGGGCTAAAAGCGAAGCTCTCAATAATATCTTATATAGTTTTCTCAAAAAAAATATAAAATCGCGTAATGCTAAGGGGCGAATCGAAGGCAAGGAGAACGGAGAAAGAACAACAGTAGGTCTAATTAGAAATAAAGCAACTTTGCACGTGCAGCAAACTTCACATTTCTTCGCCGTTGTTTTGCACTACTACAAAGTGAAACTTCCAGAAACTTTCTAGTTACACTTTTTATGGGGGAAATGTCGTACGTGTTCTTGTTCACTTTCTTTTTTTACTGGCGCTCATTTTCACCTTAGCGGCCGCTAGCATTTCTCATTTTCTCATCACCGCTTCAAAATTGTCATGTTGTTATACCAACAAAAAATGTCTTCTTTGTTTTTTTTTATCTCTCGCTCTAGCTCTCTGTCACTCTTTTTCTCGTTGGGCTTCGCTGGCCTGTCGCCTACTTTCTCTTTTTCTGCGTCTTTCTCTTTCTCTATTTTCTAAATTTGTGGACATGAAAATTAATCTAAGCTAAATACTTTGGACAACACAGAAATAATTTCCGCTTTCCGTTTTCGTCTTTATTGACTCTTAAGTTGTCTCTGCCTTTCAAGAAGCGGTTGGCTAAGCGATTTCCCGCCAAAATAACCTCGAGTTGCATTTGGGCTGCCATACCTGTTTATTGAGTTATTTTACATTCATATGATTGTGGTACGGACGGACGTAAGGTCACGTGATTACCAAATTTCTCGGATGGGTAGATTACCAGATTTTCTTTAGTATGGGGCTACGCTCGCGCGCGCGTAGAGGTCCGCTACAAATGACGCAAAAAAAAAAAACTGGTCATTTCGAATATTGGGGCTTTAGTTATACTGTTAGCAACGACATCAGAAACTTAAATAACCTTTTTAAAATTCTTTTTTCTCTTATTCAAAATGGGTAAAAGACAAAGTTGCAAACCAAACCCTCACGTTAGAACGGACTTGTCTTTCAAATATTTTATTTTTTTTATCTATTCATATATTCACATTTTTAGTTATTTATTTGTTCAATGTATGAATAAAATGGTTCGCAAATCCTAATAAATTTCCTAACTTGTACTTTTTTAGGGAACTTCTCGACCATAACTGTCACATTTTCCTTCGAAAGACGCATCGGCTACTTCCTCATCCAAATCTACTTTCCAGATATTTTTGTTGTGATGCTCAGCTGGATCGTCTTTTGGATGGAAAAAGTCGATATTGGCAACAGAATGGCTCTTGGAATCACCACCATACTCACAATCATGTTCCTTCTTGGATCACTTAATGGCAACCTACCCAAAGTCAGTTACCCAAAAGCCCTGGACTGGTATTTACTGATCTCCTTCATTTTTGTGTTCTTGTCGTTGATCGAATGCACGATAGTGTTTCTCTTCGCAAGTGAAGCCAAACAAGACCAACAAAAGCCGATAAAAGTCATGGTAAATGGATTAATGTTAGCCAGAAAGATAACTTGACTATTGAAGACTGCACTAACGCTGACTACACCATATTCACAGGAAAAAATAATGGATTCCCATTTTTGGATATTTTAGGTTATTTAAAGAATACCCATAAAAATCCCAAATTTGGCAAAATGAGACAAGTCCCAGCAAGGGAATTCCCAACCAAGTTCCCTGATTGGGACTTGTCTCACTCTTCCAAATTTGGGATTTTTGTGGGTATTCTTTAAATAACCTAAAATATCCAACAATGGGAATCTGTTATTTTTTCCTGTGATTCCGCCCTCTTATGAAACCCCTGGGTTCAAACCTTTTTTTAATGACTTACTTATCTATTTTTGTCTTCTTTATGTATTTATTTGTTTGAAAATGACTCATTAACACCTATTTATTTGTTTATTTATTTATTTTTTCTTTGGAGGTAGTTTGGCCGAGCGGTTAGGGCGCTGGGGCTCAATTCTCGAAAGTCCCGATAAATAACGGGCCCGGTAAGGTGTTGCCGTTTACATTAAAGATCAAGGTTTCAATAGTTTTGCAGCTAACATGATAAAACTATCAGTTGATGAAACAAAATGAAGTAGTCTGCTAGCCAGGACCCGCGCTCTTCTTCTTTACATTTCGATTTGAACATTTGATTTCGGGCCCGAAAAGTTACCGGGACTTTCGAGAAACGGGCCCCTGGACTTGTAATTTGGAGGCCCCCAAAGTTCAAGTCTCGCCCTAATCACTGGCTGGGTCAGGAGCCGATTACTTGCTGGGTTTGTTCTCCGTAGTCCCGAGTTCAAATCCTCGGCTACTCTTGTAAATAGCACCGCCTAGTTCGCCTCCTACCAGTTATGATTCTTCAAACCTTGTTACTTGTCATTTAACTTCATTATTATTATCATATTGTGAAAGGTTTGAACCCAGGAGTCATTTCAAAAGGTTGAGTTTGATCGTCCGGGTGAACGTAGTCCTGAATAGGACTGTGGTTGTTGACAGTGACTGACGTTTCGACAACCTGTGCGGTAGTCATCTTCGGAGTCAAAATGAGTTGTATCACGTCAGTTGATGGTATTATACTCTGGTTATTGATCTGATTGGTCAATTATGTCGCGATGTTATTGTTCGTCTGTCAGTTAGGCCTTGATGTTATTGGCTATGAAGACTCGTAATCAGTGATTGGTGCGTTTCGATCCGTCTATTGTCACAGTTAAATAGTCGTCTATTGTTATTATTATTTAATTCATTATCCCTTCAAAGTCCGATAAGGCAGGGAGATAATAATTACGTATTTATTTATTTATTATCTATTTTTCAGGAAAATGGCGTCCCCCTCTCGGAAAAAGTCTTTTCGTCTCAAACGTCACTTGTTAGCTTCAGAGGTAAAAAGTCTGGAAACGAGGGCATGAATAAGGAACCTGGGAACGAGCTTGAGATGGTAAATGGTGCTTCTAAAGCCGACAACGCCGTAGTGGAAGATGGGTACCAGGACGACACAAGCACATTTCATAAAATGGAAAAGATCGCAAACGCAATCGATAAAGCATCGAGATTTTTGTTTCCATTTTTCTTTATATGCTTCAATATTTTTTACTGGACATATTATTAGCCTCGAATTAAAAGAAAAAACGTCTGAAGTGGGTCTATAAGAGGGCAGTCAGCTGTTTCCAAAACCAATTGTATAGTCGTGCCGTGGGAGCTTAAAACTTGGTTTACACCTCGAATCTTGGCGCGTTGTAATCAAGAAGATAAGCATCGAAACATTTTTACTTAGGATGGCTTTGTGTATGCAGCCCTTTGATTGTCTGCACCATGACATAGTATTGTTTCCTTTCTATCTTTTCTATAGCTGCTTTCGTACTTCGCCTAAACCTTATTTTAACAAAACTAATTATTCGGTGATACAACTAATTGAAAAGCAAGAAAAACAAACCTTATTGCTGCTGTTGAGGAATGAAAAAGCTGTGCAGTAGGAGTGTGTAGTTTCGCTGCGAGTCGCCTTTTGTAACAAATGAATTAAGGGGTTGATTTCTAGGAAACAGTATATTATGGAGTTGGCCTTTTCCTAGACTGTTCACAGTCCTCTATTTTTCCGTAAGATCGTCAAGATCGAGCGCTTTGCGTGACGGGCTGCCATCTTGCATGAGTGTCAAAACTACGTAGGGGGCGGGGGCGGTTTGGGAGGAAGCGAGAAAAATAAAGGGACTGTAATAACATCACTGCAGCTCGTGTTCAGGAGGCGTGAGAGGAAGTTCACGCCTTTTACCATTCATTAATTAAGAAACTCCGCTGGTGATGAAAAACATGCCAGACACATTTAGCATCGATTACGCGCTTGTTTTTCGAAACAGTGATTTTATACTGTTTCTGGGCCATTCCTCGAAATAAAATCGGCAAACATGCACAAGAAAACATTTTCCTAATCAAAATACCAAAAATCCTTCGTGTGTTTGCGCAAGATGTGCCTTATGGTATGAAAGCGTACGTTTTATGGAAACGTCGACTTGTCAATGCCGGCAACTTAGATTAAACCCGTTGTCAACGCAAATTAACATCTATTGTATAATGACCAATCAAACGCATGCGTTGCTGGTACAACGCGCTCCGTGAACACGAGCTGCAGTTATGTTATTACAGTCCCTCTATTTTTCTCGCCTCTCCCCCCCCCCCCCCCCCCCCCGTCAGAGCTATAATCCCCGACGCCTGCCCCCTCGGTACCTTTGAAAATCAAGATACCCGTGACGGTAAGACGTGGTATATCTAAACGATCTCACGAAAAAATAGGGGACCGTGAACAGTCTAGCCATTTCCGAGTTCCTAAAGCTCTCTCTTTCATAAGTTTCATCCACCTTTAACTGTTTATTTTTTTCTGCTTTATCAACGCGCGCTTTGTCGGGTTTCTAGTTGAAGTTTTCTCCTGACCGAGTCGGTGTTTTCCCTTTTCGGCGCCGACTCTCTTTCCAGGTCTATTCACTGTGCCCCTGGTGAGAATGACAGACCTTCTGAGCAGACTAAAAAAATTTTTAAATTAACATCAGTCTATGTTCCTGTCTATATTAGTGAGCTCACTAGAACTTAACAACATGTAACATAGCTATTTATCTATTTAGTTCTCGTACCATAGCTAAATGAGTAATTACCAGTAACTTAATGCTATACATTCTTATTAAAAAATAACTAACGTATTTGCGGCTATTTTTCCCGCAGCTACATGTAGTTTACGCTCAATGAACTATTGCGTGGTCATTGAACTACTGGTGTGGTTATTTATCTGTTGTGTACTTATTGAACTGCTGTGTGGTTATTCAACTAACAAAAAGAAAAACCAGATGAATTAACGCTTCACAAACAATTTAAATTGCCTCATAAAGTAAACAGCTTTCCCATGCGCGAATAACGAGTGCAGGACATCGCCACGACTGGGCTTTGGGAACGGCTGAAGAACTATTAATCGATATTGTTGAATTTTGTTCATAACAGAATGAGTGTGCTAGCCTCTTGCGATATGAACCTTCAGGATTTTCCACTAGACTCCCAGACATGTAATCTAAAGATTGGAAGCTGTGAGTAACCTTGGCTATGTTTTGTAAAAACTGCCTGCAAATAATACTTATCTGTGGTATCTTTTTGTAGAAAAAATGCAGTATTTTGTGTAACTTAAAGGAAAGTAAGGACTTCAAAACTTTTTTTAAACATGTCGATATAATATTTAGTTCATTCAGAAGATTAATTCAGAAGCGAAACTTTTGGTGAATCATCATTGCTTACTATATCTCTTGCTTGATGCACAGACGCATACTCTACAAGGGACATTGCTTACGAGTGGATCCCAGGAGAAGTGCTCATTGGAAACAAAGAAATGGCTCAGTTTTATTACAAGGGCTCAAAATTGTCATCATACAGAGTTTATTACGGTACAGGTAAGTTCGGCTAAGCTTTGTTCAGTGTCGTTGTTGTTGTTATTGCTGAAGTTCATTTTCTTGGGTGGCCTTGACACTGAATTTGATTACAACGAGGTTTTTATCTTGATTTGTTACCACCTCTTTCATATAACCCAAATTCCACAGGAATATAAAGTTTTTGAAAATTTAGGAACACGCAATTTAATACCTTATGTGCCAAGCTTCTTTAGTGCTGACGATGTATGATTAATAAATAATGAACGATTGAGTAAATTATATATAATTCCTCCACTAAGCTCTCTACTCAATACATCTTTAACATTAATTTGATTAACTCACTCTTTTTTTTCGCAGGAAATTTCTCAGCTATGACTGTAACATTTTCTTTTCAACGGCGAATCGGATACTATCTCATCCAAATATACTTTCCAACTATTTTTGTGGTGATGTTAAGCTGGATTGTATTCTTCATGGAAAAAGATGACATTGGAAACAGAATGGCTTTAGGAATCACCACAATTCTAACCATTATGTTCCTTCTTGGATCTCTTAATGGAAATTTGTCCAAGGTCAGCTACCCAAAGGCCCTGGATTGGTATCTACTGGTTGGATTCAGCTTTGTGTTTCTTTCTTTGATCGAATGCATGATCGTGTACGTTCTTACGGTCAAAGCTACTGAAAAAGAGAGCAATGTCAAATTTGAGGTAAATGCTATTTTGAATATTTCGGAACATTCCCACCCAAACTCGGGCGTTTAAAGCAAAGTTCTAAAGAAAAGATCCGGCTCGAAGGACCATGCAACGCTCTTTGTTCGTTCGAAGGCCGATTAGCTCTAACGCGGGATTAAATTTTAACCCAGGTTTCTTTTTCTTTTGTTCAAAAGCATTTTCCTGGATAATTTTCTCGATTCCGGCTCTGTAGAGCATCTAATCATCATTGCTCCTGGGTACCAAGAGATGGCGCAATAGTGAGATTTGAGGGTTGAGTTTGTTGTTCGTTCTCTCCTTTGCTCCGAGAGGTTTTTCTCAAGGTACTTCTGTTTTCTCCTCTCCTCAAAAACCAACATTTCCAAATTCCAATCCCACCATGCAGGAGTCAGGTAGACGAAGAACCACTTTGTGGATGTGCTACCTCCAAATCATTATTTATCTTACTTATTTATAAGTGGTAGACAAAAAGAATAAACTGTATTAGCTTTTTAAGCTTTCATGTTCGAATTGAAATTTCGCCGCATTATCCCTGGGTTATCTTAACCCTGCTTTGAACAACGTGGCCCTGAATGATCTTGTCTCTACGTATCTCAGATTAAATGCAATTTTTTCATTTCCAAATGTTTATTATTGACGGGTTCCTTTTCCTTTTTACAGTGATTCCCACTCTCCGTTTTTATTTTCAAGAGGACACATTATCCTTCCATATAGGGTTAATGGGTCTTTCATGTTATACTTTAAGTGTAGGAACGGAAAAATTACTTGGAAGGAGATGCAAGATATTGCAATCGGCGACTAAAAGGAATTGGCAATAAACAGTTTTAGCGCCATAGCTATCCGGTATCCTTTTGTCTGTAGTATAGTACGAACAACAACAACAACAACATTAATACACCGTAATTTTTAGGGAGTTATTATAACTCCAAAAATGGAGTAAAAATTTTAGGTACAGGATAACCCCTTTTTTGGGGTTATTTTAACTCCTAATTTAACTCCGAATTTGGGGTCATTTTTAAACCTGAAAAAGAGTTCTTTTTACTCCCAGTCTTGGAGTTAAAATTACTCCGAAATGGGGTTACTTGCACTCCTTACAGGGGTTGTTTTTACTCTTTTTGGAGTTAATTTAACTCTGAAAGTGGAGTAAAAATTTTAGGTACAGGATAACTCCTTTTTTGGGGTTATTTTAACTCCTCAATATCTGGGGTCACTTTTACTCCCGAAAAAGAGTTCTTTAAACTCCTTTTTGGAGTTAAAATAACTCCACGAAAAATAACTCCACTGTAAGGAGTTAAATCAGCCCCACTAGAGGAGTTATTATAACTCCCTGAAAATTACAGTGTACATCAACGACAACATATAGCACTCTTCTGTTTCACAAAACTAACCCATCCTGTCCTTCTATTACAGAATTACAGCCGGAACTCTCGGTGGGAAAGAGTTCACTCGTGGCTCAAATTAGCCATTGCCTCAAAGAGTGTCAAAAGCTGGACGGATTCTAAACACGAGGGGAACGGAAATGCGAATCTACAAAGCCAAGACGACCTTGAAATGGTTCAAAATGCTACCAAATCCAACAACACGGTGTTGGAGGATGGTTCTCGAGATGCAGACAGTGTGCAAACCAAAACCATGGCAACAGTTGCTACTGCAATTGAAAATATTGCTCGCATTTTGTTTCCATTGGCATTCATTAGCTACAACATTTTTTATTGGACCTATTATTAGCATTCAAATAAACTATCGTCTGTAGTATCATGGAAAGGAACTTAAGAGGCCGGCGATAGTATTGGGTGCAAACTGAGCTAAAACTAAAACTTAGTATCATCAGCGTTCTTTTAAGGTAATACAACAACAACAAATTAAAACAACAAACAACAAACATAGAGCTTTCAAAGGAAGACACATACGAAGTAATGCTTTCAATGGGAATAGAAGCGTTCACCATCTAAATCATAAACTGTTTTTTTGTTGTTATTGTTGTTGTCGTGTTTTTAAAAATGTACACTGTATTCAGCCATCCCTGTTATCGAACTCCGAAGAAATGCAGGTGTATGTAGATTTATAGAGTATGTCATCCATTATATGTTTCCATGATTGACCTTTGAGTTTAGGGTGTTAAATAATTATAATTAGGAACAATTACGAGAAAATTGTTGTACACGGCTCCTTTAATTCTGCTTCCAGGTAGGTAATAGAGACCTTTAGAGTCTATGACGAGGACAACTAGGAGAACCAGATCAATTCACCATTTTCACACATCCTCGAAGACCCAGGGGCGGTCAGTTGGGTCAGAAAAAACTGCGGCGAAAGTTTTCAAGAACGGGCAGGAGAACCCCTGGGATGCTACTCTTAACGAACCAGTTCCACAACTTATTCGAATGCTTGATGTCTGTGATTGCCAATCAGAGGCCAGCATCAAACTTTAAGTAAAATATCGTCCTTGTAGTTCGTCCTTGCCCTCGAATTTAAAGTTGTCAAATGATATATAGACCTACTGGAATAAATAGTCGTGTACACCCAAGGATAACACGCGTTTTCACACTCACGTGGCCAAGATCGTTGCAAAATGATTTTAAAAAGTGATGTTATGTGACTTCCGCGTAATCTTATCCAATCAGAAGTCAGTATTCACGCAACCTGCAACAACCTGATTTGTTGCAAGACGCTGTTTGAACGTGTGTGGCAAAACGTGCCACATCACGATTCAACTCATTTTCTTACAATGTTTCGAAACAAGTTGCACTTTTTTGCTGCCCTTTTTACCGTTACTTAAGATGGCAAACATTGAGAGCTTTGTTCGTTCAATTCATCAGTTTCACATTGCCTATAATACACTTTGTTTACACCCCCCAAATTTTGTATAACTATTGTTTCTTTTCTTCTGGATATGACCGTAGTACGAACAGAAAATAAAGACAATGTTTTGGCTGCAAAATTTTGTGGGGCGAACAACGTGCATCATGGGCAATGTGAGAATGGTGTCCTTGGGAAATCTTGAAGATCCAAAGAAGGATTGCTAATTGAATCGAAACTGTGGCCATTTTTAGCACCCTTTGTTCTTTCTCACGCAGATCGAATATATGAAGTTCATACATTTATTTTTTAATAAATGGCAACTCATAACAGACACATATATATATATTTTTTCTTTTGGCTCGACATTTTTTGTCGTGGTTTGAGTGTTCATAATTTGTGTGTTGCGCTATTTTGCTGTTAGTCTTTGCTTTTTAAAGTTTTGACATAGTTGGCAAATTTAGCAAAAAAAAATGCAAGCGTTGTTTTTGACCAAGCATGCGTCAAATTGTCGTGAAACAAAAGAAATTTTACCGATGAGGCTTGATGCATGGCTAGCTTTAACTTAAATTATGCTATATTGTATTTTGCTTTAAGTGGAAACACGCTGTGAACGTGCATTCACTTTAGTAACGTACAAAGTTCCTCGGAGGCTTACATAAATCTTATTTGATTGCCGTCATATGAGCAGCTTCATGGTGAACTGTGTTCTTGTTTGCTCAAATTTGCGATTCCCTAAACAGTTTTTCAAAACGTTTACACGAAGCTCGCTAGCTGTGAGTACAACCTGGGCCCACCTTGGCTCAGGGCTCGTTATCAGAAGACTCTTTGATAAATGCACAACTGATTGCTTGTTCCTATGGGTGTATATTTCTATTTAATACTCATTAGGACGTCTTCTCAGCTGTTGCTTTATTCTCGACGGGATTAGTTATTGACCGCTGGGAAAATTCTTATTCAATTTGGACGTCCTAACTATTATACACCAATGATAAGGTTCCTAAGCGTTATTGTTTATGATCACAATCGCCTGCTTAAAATATTTTCATATTAGCATAAAAATTCAATTACACTGATACACGGGTGGAAATTATTACACTCATATCACAGCTCATTGAAGGGTTTCCATTTTCTTCGTGAATGTACGTTTGCGGTGAGTGTAGCATTTATTTTCGTCCAGCCTTTCGTCAAGCTTCATATTATAAACTTTGCACCGCCTATACCTAAGAAAATGAGCTAAGTGACTTTTTTTTCCGACAAAGCTTCCACCATTGTTAAGCCTTGATTGTAGAACGAACAATTCACATATTCATAAGTTTATTTTAGTTCTTTCATACACCTGGAAAAGACCTGTTTCAAACGTAGAACTTCTCGTGACAATTATGCATGCATACTACATGAAAATCGATTTCGTGTGGTTTGAAAAAAAGTTAGACTATTGATTTAGATGCCAAACTTATACAGTTTTAGGCAAAAGAATCGTTTAAATTATGTTATGTAATAACTTATCAAGTCTCTATCAGCTTAGCACTTAAAAGTATAAGCGCTATATAAATATTCTATTATTTATTATTATTTTTATAGCGTCGTCACATAGATTGTTTGAACATTCACACCTGAAACAAAGCCGTTCCGAGTTCGTTTCAAAATCGAAACTCCCAGCAGAACAAGACGAGAAGAGCGGCTGAGCCACTTCAAATTGAAAACGTTATATCAGATTTCGACACCGAACGTTTCATATATTTCTTAAAAAATGTTTGACGTCTCAATCGGGTCGAAAACACATAAGCTTTCATCCAAAAATTGCTCACTTCCTACTTGATGACGTCATGTGTCAACCTGTTTGAACAGGCAAAGACTAGACTTAATACACCGGAAATAAAATCTAAACTAAAATATTTGTTTGGTGTCCTCAGGATGAACTGAAACTCATATGCAAGATATCAATTATTACACCTTTTTCTCATTCAGAATTTCTTACAATCCTTTGATAGTCGCCAATAAATAAATGTCACTAAAAAATGCATTCATTTGGTCACTGCCAAATTTCCATATGCCTTAAAAATAATAGTGCTGTTATAAAAGGCTTATTTTATGTTCACGCAACACGACTTCTTATATTTACTGTTGTTAATGTTAAGTAAAATTATTACATTTAAACGTTTTCAACAAAGAAACCAAACGGACAGACTGAGTCACAGAGCCCGCGTTATAGAGTTAGGAGTTTTATGACTTCCCCTTCCTGTTGAGTCTTTTGCACCATGCAGCTCAGTGAAGCATACCTGCTCTAGGCAAATCTTTGTTCACGTCACTGTTTACACTTTTGCTCATTACCAAAAATAGTAACCAATAGAAAACTTCGCCGTATATGTAAAAAAAGGTTGAAACGTTAAAAGAGCCGATGAAGTTGAGTAGTTTGTGCAAGTTTTAGCTCATCCTCGGAGACCCAGGGGCAGATAGTGAGGACGAGGAAAAGTCTAAACAGCCGAAAAGATGCGGCACGAAGAAAACTAAAGAACGGACACCGTTCTTTACTTTTCTTCGTGGCACATTTTTCCGCCCGTTTAGACTTTCCCTCGCCCCCTTTATCTGCCCCTGGGTTTCCGAGGATGCTTTTAGCTATTTGCCATCAACAACAAAGGAAACGAGAGGCAATCATAACCTGTACGATTGCTCGGTGGCAGAAGCGTTAATGAGCTCATCATTCTTTGTAAAAACCGTTTTTTTTTTCAAGGAGAATTCCACCGGAAATATTTGGTATATAGGGCTCAAATTTGCAGAGAAAACTGAAATTGTTATGACTCTTTCAATATTTAGAGGTGTTATTAATATTAGCTTTATCAGATAAAGATAAGCATATGTTAATGATGAAGAAAAAATTCGCCTATAAATGTATAAATATTAAGAAATTCGCCTATAAATGTATAAATATTAAAAAAGGGACAAGAGTGTAATATTCTTCCATAAATTTATTGTCATTAACGGTTTGTGTTCACGTATAGATACAAGATGAAAAAACTACCATGTTTTTTCGCTGCGCTTTTGCTGAGTCTAGCAAAACTGTAAGTATCCGCTTTTATTTATTTAATCGCAAATCACAAAGTATTCAGCCTTTTTACATACATTATAGATGGTGAAAATCTAAAAACTTCTTCCTCTTATTTATTTTCACAGAATATCTTGTGAAGATGGTGTTATAACGGAATTGTTTAAAGGCTACGACAAAGCAATCAGGCCAAATCACGGTAAATATGTGCAAAAATAGTTTGTAAAATAATAGCTTGTAAAAAGAAAAATGCATATTGTTGTTTCAAGTAAACATTTTTAATCCTGAATAAGCCTTTTCTTTTTTTTTCAAGGAACGGGTAAGCCAGTAACGATTCGTTCATCGATTTATGTGGAATCCTTTGGAAACATAGAAGAGGCCAATATGGTGAGATAAATGCGGATTAAATTAAGATTTTATCAGTTGTTAATTAATTGAGATGCTAGGAGTGGTCCGGTTGGTTGCTGAAAATTAAAAAAGAAAAAAAGGGAGCTCCTCGAGTTGGAGCAAGATGATAAGAAAACACTCTTTCTATTCCTATTATTCCGGTGAACAAAGGAACCAAATCGAGGCCTGAAATTGGAAAATGAAGTGATCTGTATAAATTCTAATTTTTCGGGCATGAAGATTGGTGTGTGCTCACTAGATGAAGGCACTGGAAAGATAGATAAGTAACTAGACGCGCATTAATTAATTAAAAATTTTGCATGTCATTTATTTTCTTTTCGTTTTAATTTCAGGAATTCAAGGCATATATCTATTTTCGTCAGTTATGGAAGGATCTTCGCCTGACAGGAAGGGTCAACGACACTTTCACCATACGAGGTGGAGAGGTCGACAATATCTGGACCCCAGATCCATATTGCTACAATGCACGTGAATCGAATATGATGACACCCAATGAAGAAGTAAATGTTAATGTACAGATTTCCCCCAACGGACACATAACATCGAGCAGAGGGTACGAATTAGTTTTTCTCTGAGGAGTTATTTTGAGCTGTTCAGCTGACCCGTTTCCAGGGAGGAACAATAGTACAATGATGAACGTTAGGGCGCGGGAAAATAATGCAAGCGCGCCAAAAAGGTGTGGAGCCCAAAGAGTGATCAGCGTCAAAGTTCTCCTTGTAATATCAATGCTTTGTAAAACTGGGTGCAACGATGTTATCATGTTTGGGTGTCGACAATATCTGGACCCCAGATCCATATTGCTATAATTCACGTGAATCGAATATGACGACAACCAATGAAGAAGTAAACCTCTATGTACAGATTTCCCCCAAAGCATCGAGCAGAGGGTACGAATCAGTTTAACCCTGAACCCTTTACTTTGAGCTGTTCAGTTTTAAGTGGAGGGCAATGGGATAACAATGTTTTTTTGGTGGGGAGGGAATATTGAAAACCGTAGCGCACGTAAGGAAGTGCAGTTGATACTAATAAAGGCATAGAGTACTAAAGTGATGACGTCATAAAAACGAAATTTCTGAAATTATGGGATTTGTGAGGGTATTCTGAAAGAACAATGTCCAAGAGGCCTACTTGCCAAAAATGAGCATTTCGGGGCAAATTTTCTCTGAGATGTTAGCCGGTTATACTCAGAAAACTCCATACAAACCCTTCCAATTTTTTTTTTGGGTCCACCCAAAAATAATTTAGAAGGATGGAGTTTTCTAAGCATAACTGGGCTAGGATCTCAGAGACAATTTGCTCCGAAATGCTCATTTTTGGCAAGTAGGCCTCTTGGACATTGTTGTTTAGTACTCTATTACATGGCGATGTTTCTTTATATAGGATACGGGCAAGGCAACAAGTTAAGTGACGCACGTCAACCGGAAGTGAGTTCTTTTCCCTTCTAAGATGCCTCCACGCTACCAAATTTGTATTCCTAAATGTGTTTTCATAGTGACGATTTGATCCAAAACTTGGTCAAAATCACACCTCAAGTCTGCAAAACGTCCACTTCCGGTTGACGTACGTCGCTCAAAAACGTCGTTGCTTAAGTTCCCTGATGGCATTATGTGATAGCTAGGTAGTCGTCTGTTGTTGTTTTTTATTTGTTTGTTTGTTTTTTCAACCTCAGGGTAACTCTACTCGCTTCTTGTGTGATGAATCTCCGAACCTTCCCACATGATTCTCAGCAATGCCACCTCAAGTTTGGAAGCTGTAAGTTTTTCTTTTTTAAAGTGATTAATGTTAAAAATGTCATCCTATGTTTTGCTACTCATGGCCTAAAGCGGTTTTCTACGAAATCCTCTCCAGTTAATTTAATTACATGGTTAAAGAGATAAAAGTGGAGGCTATTCTCTCCTTAAGAGTTTAGTTCTTTTGCTAACGAGACCAGCGAAAGAAATCCCTGGGAACAGCCATCACTGTCCATATGCAGGAGCCCATAACTTCCATACCAGTCCAATGGGAGGTTTCCGTATTAAGCTTGTGTCCGTGTAGTGCGGTTTGACTACCTATCAGAGCGCAAACTGTTCCTGCTGTTTACTTATAAACCTTTTAACGTTTTATACTCGCCTCATCCAAACATTGTTTAACTAACAATGATGGTGTTTTTTAAATATATATAGACTCGTATACAAGTAGCGATATCGTTTACGAATGGATTCCTGGTGAGGTTCAGTTTGGAAACAAAGAGCTATCTCAGTTTCAGCTCAAGGGCTCCGAGTTAACATCTAAAATAGAAGTTTTTTCTGTAGGTGAGCATAACATTCTTTGTTTTTTATCTCTGGCTCCTGCTGTTTGTCGCTGTTTTTCTCGTTGAGCTTCTCTGGCCTGTCGCCTACTTTCTATTTTTCTTTCTCTATTTTCTAAATTTGTGGAAATGACAATTAATCTAAGTTTAAAATTTTATTCAACACATAAACAATTTCCGCTTTCCGTTTTCGTCTGTATTGTCTTTGCTTTTTCGGGTGGCTAAGCGATTTCCTCTCCAAAATAACCTCGAGTTGTATTTAGGTTGCCATACTTGTTTATTGAGTTGTTTTACATTCATATGCCTGTGGTACGGACGGACGGGCGGACGGACGGACGGACGGTCACGTGATTTCCAAAATTTCTCGGATGGCTAGATTACCAGATTTTCTTAGGTATGGGGCTACGCTCTCGCGCGCGTGGAGCTCCGCTACAAATAGCGCAAAAAAATGGTCATTTCGAATATTGAGTCTTAAGTTATACTGTCAGCCACGACATCAGAAACTTCAAGAAGCTTATCAAAATTGATTTTCCTCTTATTCAAAATGGGTAAAACAGACAGTTTCAAACCAAACCCTCACGTTAGAACGGACTTGTCGTTATTTATTTGTTCAATGTATGAATAAAATGGTTCGCAAATCCTCAAACCTCACTTAACTTGTACTTAATTTTTAGGGAACTACTCGACAATAACAGTCACGTTTTCCTTCGAAAGACGCATCGGCTACTTCCTCATCCAAGTCTACTTTCCAGATATTTTTGTTGTGATGCTTAGCTGGATCGTCTTTTGGATGGAAAAAGATGATATTGGCAACAGAATGGCTCTTGGAATCACCACCATACTCACAATCATGTTCCTTCTTGGATCACTTAATGGCAACCTACCCAAAGTCAGTTACCCAAAAGCCCTGGACTGGTATCTACTGGTCTCCTTCAGTTTTGTGTTCTTGTCGCTGATCGAATGCATGATAGTGTATCTCTTCGTGGCTGAAGCCAAACAAGACAAACAAAAGCCGATAAAAGTCATGGTAAATGGATTAATTTTAGCTAGAAAGATGACTTGACTATTCAAGACTGCACTCACGCCGACGATATAATATTCCACCCTCTTATGAAACCCCTGGGTTCAAACCTTTTTTTATTAACTTGCTTAAATATTTTTGTCTTTTATGTATTTATTTGCTTATTTACTTATTTTCTCTTTTGAGGTAGTTTGGCCGAGCGGTTAGGGCGTTGGGGCCCGTTTCTCGAAAGTCCCGATAAATACCGGGCTCGGTAAGGTGTTAACGTTTACATTTAAGATCGAAGTTTCTATAGTTTATTACATTTAAGATCGAAGTTTCAATAGTTTTGCAGCTAACATGATAAAACTATCAGTTAATGAAACAAAATGGAGTAGTTTGCTAGCCAGGACCTGTGCTCTTCTTCTTTATATTTCGATTTGAACATTTGATTTCGGGCCCGAAAAGTTACCGGGACTTTCGAGAAACGGGCCCCTGGACTTGTACTTTGGAGGCCCCCCAAGTTCAAGTCTCGCCCTCATCGCTGGCTGGATTTGTTCTCCGTAGTCCCGAGTTCAAATCCTCGCCCACGCTTGTAAATAGCGCCGCCTGGTTCGCCTCCTACCAGTTATGATTCTTCAAACCTTGTTACTTGTCATTTAAATTCATTATTATTATCATATTATTATTTGATTCATTATCCCCCAAAAGCCCCATGAGGCAGGGAGATGATAATTACGTATATATTTATTATTTATTTTTCAGGAAAATGGCGCCCCCCTCTCGGAAAAAGTCTTTTCGTCTCTAACGTCACTTGTTAGCTTCAGAGGTAAAAAGTCTGGAAACGAGGGCATGAATCAGGAACCTGGGAACGAGCTTGAGATGGTGAACGGTGCTTCTAAAGCCGACAAGGCCGTAGTGGAAGATGGGTACCAGGACGACGCAAGCACATTTCATAAAATGGAAAAGATCGCAAACGCAATCGATAAAGCATCCAGATTTTTGTTTCCATTTATCTTTATATGCTTCAATATTTTTTACTGGACATATTATTAGCGTCAAATTGAAAGAAAAAAAGGGCAGTTAGCCGTTTCCAAAGGGAAATGTATAGTTGTGCCGTGGGAGCTTGAAACTTGGTTTACACCTCTAACCTTGGCGCGTTGTAATCAAGAAGATAAGCATCGAAACATTTTTACTTAGGTTGACTTTGTGAATGCAGCCCTTTGATTGTCTGCACCATGACATAGTATTGTTTCGTTTCTATCTATGCTTCAGCTGCTTTCGTACTTCGCCTAAACCTTATTTTAACAAAACTAATTATTCGGTGATACAACTAATTGAAAAGCAAGAAATACAGTCCTTATTGTTGCTGTTGAGGAATGAAAAAGCTGTGCTATGGGAGTGTGTAGTTTCACTGCGATTCGCCTTTTGTAACAAATGAATAAAGGGGTTGATTTCTAGGAAACAATATATTATGGAGTTGGCCATTTCCTAGACTGTTCACAGTCCTCCATTTTTCCGTAAGAACGTCGAGATCGAGCGCTTTGCGTGACGGGCTGCCGTCTTGCATGAGTGTCAAACCTACGTAGGGGGCGGGGGCGGTTTGGGAGGAAGCGAGAAAAATAGAGGGACTGTAATAACATCACTGCAGCTCGCGTTCAGGAGGCGTGAGAGGAATTTCACGCCTTTTACCATTCATTAATTAAGAAACTCCGCTGGTGATGAAAAACATGCCAGACACATTTAGCATCGATTACGCGCTTGTTTTTCGAAACAGTGATTTTATACTGTTTCTGGGCCATTCCTCGAAATAAAATTGGCAAACATGCACAAGAAAACATTTTCCTAATCAAAATACCAAAAATCCTTCGTGTGTTTGCGCAAGATGTGCCTTATGGTATGAAAGTGTACGTTTTATGGAAACGTCGACTTGTCAACGACTTGTCAATGTCGCCAACTTAGATTAAACCCGTTGTCAACGCAAATTAACATCTATTGACCAATCAAGCGCATGCGTTGCTGGTACAACGCGCTCCGTGAACGCGAGCTGCAGTTATGTTATTACAGTCCCTCTATTTTTCTCGCCCCTCCCCTCCCCTTCCCCCTCAGAGCTATAATCCCCGACGCCCGCCCCCTCGGTGCCTTTGAAAATCAAGATACCCGTGAGGGTAAGACGTGGTATATCTAAACGATCTCACGAAAAAATAGGGGACTGTGAACAGTCTAGCCATTTGCGAGTTCCTAAAGCTCTCTCTTTCATAACAAGGCTAAGTGAAAAAACGTCCTTGTGAAAGTGAGTTTTATCTGTCAGAGAACGAAAAAAATCGTTTTCAAATCAATGTCTTCTCACTTAGCCTCGCTTTGAAACAGAGGCTTTGGGTAACTCGAAAGTAGTATGTTGGGTCGGTGGAGAAGTGCAGCACTAAGATTTTATCTTATCAAGAATACTGCAGATAAGGTAGAATTGGCCACCTTAAGGAGATCATGCAGTGGCCAATCTGTCTTATCAACTCATAAACCAAATCTTTGCCTTTTGTAACACTTTGCTCTACGGGTTTATGCGCAGGGAGGTGCCTTAAGAGTCTATCCGCCGTAATGATAAAAATATAATTTCCTATTAAACTACTGTAGCTTTCTCCAATTGAAGCCAAAGTGCTGCGAGCAGATGTTTTAGTAAGAAGATCAAACTAATAAGAAAAATAAATAAATAAATAAAAGCAACGAAAAATTAGGGAATAGTGTCCTATTATTGCATGGGCAAATCTGTGACTGTTTCATGATTTAGAGAGAAACTGCACTGGGCGACATAGCTGCAAGGTCATCGTAAACCTCCAATGTCAGGGTATACATTTTATTGTTATTGAAGTTACACTTGTCGAACAGTAACGAGTGTGGCAAAACCATTGTTGATTTAACGACGCGGGGTATAAAATGACAGAAAATTGCCACGCAACGGATTACAGGCGACAGAGAGGCACTTCAGAATAACGACAGCTGGATATCAATTCATTTTCAACAGCTAGACTTTTATTAATTACATCACGTTATCGCCTTCTGCTGTGAACTAAAGCCAAGTAAACAACTTCTTGTATTAGCATTTTGCAAATATCACCCTCGAGCAACAAGGCTTGAGGTCAGCCGAAAGCAAGAAAGTGGATCGCCATTTTTCTTTCGTCCAAAACTGATTCAAAATCATATATGATATATATTCAACCTTTTGAAGCCTTCAGCAATGTAACGAGCACCCATACGGCTATTTCAGTCAAGGTGAGTTTGCAAAACGACTTTGAAAGTAGTTTTAAATTTGTTTGTGATTAAAAATTTATTTCTTTCGTCTCTTGAAGATAAATATGCGACCCTTTATTGTCAGAGCCAACTTAACGAGAAGAGCATCTTCGAACCATCTTCCTACTTGAAAGTCTCTGTTGTAACTTCATGTCTAATCACAAACCAGTGACCGCTAAGGCAATGTACACTACACAGTGTTTTACAAATCGGAGCAATCCTTAGACAAACTATATTAATATGACCTGCCATAATATTAGTTTAAGGTTAAATTTTTTTCCCATAAATGGAGATATTTGCTGAACTCGTGTTAGATCGTGTCATTTTAAGGTCGATGAAGAATTTAAAATCGCAAAACAATTGTAGAAAAATGATTGATAAGTTGTCTGTAAAATTTAGGTTACTCCGGGGGAGTCAATTGGAATTCAAAATGGCTGTTGTTTGTTCACATTTCGTCGGATTATTCGTCTTCGAAATAGGAAAAAAAAACCTCTAACACGAAATAAAACCGTAGGTTAGCATTCGAATGAACACTCGTATTCTCGACCCTGTTTTGACTGATACCTGTCAATTAGTCGAATGCCGAGGGGAAGTTATTTAATCAGGACTATAGCGACACAGTTTTCTCAGCTTCTATTTTTAAACTATCTATACCCTATCTCGAACTACTGTTTTGACTGTTGTGATTAGTTCATTTTCTTTTCTCCTTCTCTGTAAATAATGATGACGGTAGAAAAATAAAAACCGTCATCCGCATAAAAAGAACAGTTTCTTGTAGGCAAAACATTGGTCAGAGCGCACGCTGTTCTTTAGTCTAATGCGGTACAATACGATTAGAATATTTTAGATATTACTTCATCACCAGCAACAAATTGGGCTGAGGTGTGTATTTATTGACTCCACAAAGCCTCATTGTTTTAAAATAACTCACAATTTCTGAAATGGAGATCATTTATTTTGTGATTCAGCCGTAAAAATTTATCTTGTTCAGAAGAACTACGCATAAATAAGTCACAAATTCCCGACAAACATAATCAGAAAGAAGCTAAGTCGAAGGCAAACTGGAACGATAACAAAGATTTCTTTAGGTTACACCTACTGGTTGGAGGACCAAATGCTTTATAATTTCCAAACAGAATAGGGACAACCTTTGGAACAGTTGTGTTGACAAATAATCTGAGTAAGACAGAGCTCCCATGACTGAACGTTCCCATATACAAAAGATTAAAAGGTGGGATGGAGGCGATGAAGATAACTTTCGCGGTCAGTCGTGGGTTTCTTATTTATCTACGTTTTGAATGATTGATTGATTTTTCTATCTTCATGGGCAAAGGACCTCAATATCCAAAGTCACAATGCATCAAAGCTAACAAAGTAAATAAAAAAAAAATATGCCAACATTGATAATAGACTCACTTTTTTGCAGTTTATTGAATACATTGTGCTCATTATCCGGTATCTTCTCATTGGCTAAGAGCCTACAGCCAAGAGAGGATAAAGGGGACAGAGAAGGCATCCCCCATAGACGCCCTATTCCATAGGTAATTCGTCTCGAGTTATTTTTGAATCGGGATAAAGTTTCGTGGAGGTTTCGCGTGACTAAACACCGTGCAAAACATGTCTGGCGAAAGACAATGAAAGCGTAAAGAGATCGAGAGCATTCCTGAATATTGAAGCGAAATGAGTCGGCGCTCACCTGGGAAAAGGGAATTGCTGGACTCTTTGACAACCCATGAAATCAGTTTAACTCGAAGTTGTCGTAACCTCAGTGCTTTAAT